TTCCTGGGTCCGAGATTGTCGATGCCAGTCGGCGTCGTAGCTCCGAATGTGTTCTGCCTCCAGCGGTTCAGGCGCAGGCTCCACATCATTTGCAAGCCTCAGACATCCATCAAAGGATGCCTCCTCCGCGTCATACCTCCATATCTTATTCCATTCCGTCATGTCTGCGTCGAGCTGGGATGCTTGTGATGCAATGCCATGATCGCACTGTACATCGGCCTGTTGCCAAGTTGAGGGTGATTTATTGCACCTATGCACCTTACCATACTATTGTTCGACAGCTTTTGCAACCTTCTTCCTCCAAGCTCAACCACGGCATGTATGACCTCGTGTGTTGCGAGTTAGCTTGCATCACGCAGCCAGTCCTCATCCCAACTCATTTCGTGGCCGCCCATGTTGATGGTATTATTGCGGAGTTCGGGGGTCGTGGCACATTTGTCATGGCCAAATTGGTTCGGATCCATCCAGCTTCTCCTCAGGACATGTATCAGGTCAACCATAACCATAGCAGCTCTCTGCCATGCGTGGATGCTGGATCCCTTTCAGCTCCATGTCCTCGCGACTGTCGAACAGCTGTCACCGGCTGGACCTGAGGGTGAGCAAGATTCCTTGTGCTTGATCTTGAATTGGTCTGCCGATCGTCGAGCTGGCACCTGGAACAGAACTCTGCCTCCGCAAGCTGTGCCCATGTCGTATAGCACCACTGCACGCTTCCAGCACCTCTTGCCTCACGCCATTAATCCAAGACTTTCTGATACGATGGTGATGGTCGAGCAACTCCCAATGGACATACCTTCGGGAGCTTTTGTGCGCCCTGTAGTTGCTGCCCAAGACTGACACCAGGTCCTGACCCAAATCTCGGTCATGACTTCCCAATGCGCGGCTAGATTGGCCCCTTCCATCCCCGTGGCTCCTCGAACCAGACTCTTGAAATGCTTGCTGATCACGAAATAGTCGAGGGTCCTCCCAGCGCCCGCAGCACAATTCCACTCTGGTGACACTGCACCAGTGGCGGGGATAGTTTCCAACACATTGAGCTTCATGAGGCCTCTCGGGGACGTGTCCCAAGCACCTCCTATTTTAAAGGGCCGCCCAACCAATATCTGAGCTGCTCAGAGCACTGCAAGATGCTTATCTCGATCAAGCCCTCAACCTCCTTCATCATGTGCCCAGAGACTAGGTAGATGGACCCCAGCAGGAAACCACCAAGTAGTATACAGCCCACCCATTGAACGGTCAATCTCGGCGATGGTGGTTCAACTCCTTCCATATTAGGCGGCGTAGCTGAAGCACGACCCTGCCTTGTCACAACTGCAGCTCCTGCAATTACACTCATGATGATGATGATGATGATGATGATGATGATGATGATGATGATGATGATGATGATGATGATGATGATGATGATGATGATGATATTGATGATGATGTCGGCGATCCCGTTGTTGAAGATATTGCTACCTTGCACGAGTAGGCCGTCCACTTCTGGCTGCACTTCCAGAACCTCATCAGCCAACGTCGCTAGCTTGGTAGCATTCTTCTGAGCCGAAGTGATGTTTGCTGAGAATATATTCCGCGTCCGTGTGCTGCGCACGCCACCATCCACTGCTTCAGGTCCTAGAGGTGCTGGCTGTTCCAAGTCCTCCACCTCAGTGCACGCCCTCGGCGACGCGCGTTGATCAGGAAGTGCCAGTTGGCCCACCTCACCTGGCAGGCCCTAATGTGAAGAGGCCTGCCCCCAGCGGCTGCACCCTTGGCACGCACACACCCCATCAGGAACCAGTCGGCGGCTTGGGGGCTGGGGGCGATGCTCTTCTCCGCTTCGCCAGGGCCTGCGCGCGGTGACAGCTTCGACGACCCGTGTCCTCTCGGCATCGATCCTCTCGATCTCGCCCTCATCGGTGACTCCGTCCAGCGTGAGCCGCTGCTGCTCGAACAGCTGCCGGGAGCCGTCCTCATCTGGTACAGCCTGGGCGTTCCACGTTGGACTGCTGGGCGTCCTGCCCACCATCTTCCGACAGGCAAACTAAAGAACTCAGCGTGAACTGGCCCCCCTTAAAAAACAACAACAACAACAACAACAACAACAACAACAACAACAACAAGAACAACAACAACAACAACAACAACAACAACAACAACAAAAATGTACAGGCGGGGCGTTCCAGAACGGGCCCTGCCCTCGAGGATCAAAAGGGCCAGCTCTCGTCCGCGGCGGAAGGTCGGGGGACGGCGGCGGGCGTACAACGGCGGCGGATCCGCCGGCGGAAGCTCGGCGGAAGCTCGGTGGAAGTCGCCTCCTCCTCCTCCTCCTCCTCCTCCTCCTCCTCCTCCGCCTCCGCCTCCGCCTCCTCCTCCTCCTCCTCCTCCTCCTCCGCCTCCGCCTCCTCCTCCTCCGCCTCCGCCTCCTCCTCCTCCGCCTCCGCCTCCGCCTTCGCCTCCGCCTCCTCCTCCTCTTCCTCTTCCTCCTCCTCCTCCCCTCCTCCTCCTCCTCCTCCTCCTCCTCCTCGCGGAAGCGAAAGTCGACCTCCCGAGAGATGACAGCATTTTTTGATTTTTTGGCTCAGGGGTTTCCGGAATCTGCCAGGCAGGTTGTTTCCTCGCTGCGGTTGCATCGGCGCGTCACCATCACCCTCGGCAGCAGGACGAGGCCGAGCGGCAGGGACAAAGGCGGAGCAGCAGGTGGAGGAGCGGCAGCGTCTGCTCGAACCTTGGCTTGCGTCTTCTTCTGCTCGGCCATCTGTTTCCCCACGGCTTCGAGGGCCTACTCTCCTCCTCCACGTCCTCCTCCCCCTCCTCCTCCACTTTTACACAATATGAGTACTACTCTCTCCCCTGGTGACGTCCGGGCAATATCCGGCCCCCCTTCCGCGCACTAGTCTTTTACATTGGTTTCCCGGGAAACGGGTTTTCGCTTTTTCTTTGTTGTCTCAAAATGCTGCTCTCGCTGAAGCGTTGGCTTCATTTTCGGGCTACCGCTCGTTCCGAATCGTGCTTCCGTTGCAGCGCTGGCCTCATCTCCGCGCTTCCGCTCGTTCCGAATCGTGCTCCCGCTGCAGCGTTGGCGTTACTATTTTCAGCCCCAGGCCACGGCATGGTTCTCAGTCTTTCCAAAGAGGCTTCAAAATCTAGAGAATGGCCCCCCCAACAAAAAACCATCGGAAGTGATTACACATTCGGTGTCGGTTCGTTGGTTTTTTGGGCCACAGAACCCCCCCACATTGGGGCGTCGTCGCTTTCAGGGAGTATCAAGCGGGAGCCCCGCTTCTCATTTGAGAAGGCGATGATGCAAGCAGAGCCAGCGGGTGCTCTCCATCAGCCCCGCATTGTGGGGAGCTTTTCGGGGAGCCAGGGAGCTAAACATGGAGCCGCGATTCCAGACAAGCCCAGACCCTTCGAAGACGACCCAATTACCCTCCAAGGAACCCGGCGCCATGCCATGACGTGCTGTGCGGTGTTGGGTTTTGTGTCGTTGTGCGATGCCATGTTGTGTGTTGCAATGTTTTGTGATGAAACGTTTAACTGTACAATGCCACGCCATCTATGGCATGATTTGCTCTGCCGTGCTCTTCTACGCCATGCCATGCCGTGCTCTACCATGCATCGCGTACCCTCTCGCGATCATTGCCCTGCTCGACATCCGATTGTGCGAATAAAGAGATATCTACGCAATGGTAAGGGATGGGAGGGAGGGTAAGACGTCAGATATGACGCGAGCGCACTTGGCTTGTCCTCCACCCCTTCCTCCTCTACCTCCCCCTCCTCCTCGCCCCCACGGGGGCGGAGCCCGTAGTCCCGTCGTTTTCCAGGCAGCGCCTGCATCCCCAGCTCCTTTTGGATGTTGGCCACCTTGCCGCAAAATCTGACAGCGGGATTGGCATATTTGTGTCCGCCTTATTCAGGTTCTTGTTGGTGTCCGCCAGCCTTTGCCCCAGCTGGAACGAGGCGAGCTTGGTGTGGTCCACTGGTTGCGGCTCTGCCTTTGCTTCGGCATCCACCACCTTGTCCCGCACCTGAACCAGGTCTCGAGCTTAGGCTGGCCATTGTTTACGATCTTCTCCGTGTGCCTTCACCACGGTCCCAAGCAGCGCATTGGCTGCGCCATTGTCCACGGAGTCCTTCTTCTCGCGGTCTTTGTCGGGCTTGGAATACTCCCATCCCACTTCCAAGTCCATGCCTCTCCATTCTGGCGGCAAAAGCTGGGAGGCGGTCCTTCCTCCCAGCGGCTCTTCTGCCATGGAGCCCTGTAGCTTGACCTCCGGTGCTGCCTCTGCTTGTCCATGACTCCTCTGGACGCTTGCTCCCCACACCGCAGACACGCCGATGTGAAAGCGCAATTTGCAAACGACGTCCCGTGAAGCCTGGCACACTTGCCGCACGGCCGCGTCGGGCGGCGCCCTGCCGTGAAGGCTCGCTGGCGCGCCAGCCGCGTCGAAGGTGCGCGCTGGCACGTCCAAGCAACATGCCTGGGCCGACACGGCTGCAGGGTGCAGGAGGAGGAGGAGGAGGAGGAGGAGGAGGAGGAGGAGGAGGAGGAGAGGAGGAGAGAGGAGGGGAGGAGGAGGGAGGAGGGAGGAGGAGGGAGGAGGGAGGAGGGAGAGGGAGGAGGGAGGAGGGAGGAGGGAGGAGGGAGGAGGAGGAGGAGGAGGAGGGAGGAGGAGGGGGAGGAGGAGGAGGAGGAGAGGAGGGATAGGGAGGAGGGGGAGGAGGGAGGAGGGGGAGGAGGGAGGAGGGAGGAGGAGGAGGAGGGGGAGGAGGGAGGAGGAGGAGGGAGGGAGGAGGAGGGAGGAGGGAGGAGGGAGGAGGAGGAGGAGGAGGAGGAGGAGGAGGAGGAGGAGGAGGAGGAGGAGGAGGAGGAGGAGGGCAGGAGGAGGAGGAGGAGGAGGAAGGATGAGGAGGAGGGGAAGGAGACGCGAACGCAATGCGGTGTGCAAGGCGAGAACCCAACACTGAAGAGCTGGGAAGGGCGCAGGGGCCTGGACACGCCGTGGCCGCCGCAGGGCGCGGCTGCGGATACTTGGAGGGCCACCAGCTGCTTCCGTTCGTGCAGGCCGTCCTGCAGACCGTGATCAAGGAGAAGCCGCCGGACCCCTTCGAGTACATGGCCGAGCACCCAGAGGGCCCTAAATCCGCCGACCAGAGGAGAAGCGCGCGGCGTCCCGTCATTTGCGGGTGGGAGTGAGGGAGCGTGCGGGTAGGTCCCGGGGCGGGTCGCGGGTGGGTCGTTGGGGTGGGGACGATGACAACAGCATTCGTTTTAACATCGTTCGCTCTTTTCTGCTCGCGTGTCACCCAGCATGAATATCCAGAACCCTCGATACCCGGCTTCTTCGTCTTCGATCGTTGCCCCTCCCTGGGGATAGATCGTCCCAGCCTGCCACTTGCAGTTGACGCAGCCCCTGAAAAACAGGGGGGAGGGAGGAGGGGGAGGGAAGGGGGAAGGGAGGAGGGAAGGGACAAGGGGGAGGGAGCAGGATGGAGCACGAGACAGATTGGCAGGAGGGAGGTCGGGAGCGGGAGCAGAGGCGGCAGCACCAGGCGGGCGGGCCGGGTGGGCGGGCGTGAGCGGGCGGGTCAGGCCGTCGAGCGGGCGGGCCGCTCGTCCGCCAGGATGCATACCAGGCGGGCGGGCCCTCCGGAAGAACGCACGCTGGGAACACGTCGGGGCTCGAGAGACGGGGGTCAGTGCAAACGGGGGCCGGCCGGGGCACCGGATCCTGCAGGATCCTGCGACGACCCCCTCTGGCTGACCCCCGGGTCAGCGAGCCGCTCGTGGCCGCGAGGCGGCCGCGCATGTTGGCTGACCCGGGTTTGCGAAGACCTGCGTTGCAGTTTGTTTGTCATGCATTGGAGTTTTTTGGTTTCCTGCTGACCCAGGACTGGATTGACCCGGGTCAGAAGATCCCCGAACACTGATGATGATGATGATGATGAGGAGGAGGAGGAGGAGGAGGAGGAGGAGGCCAGTAAAGCGGAGCCTAGAGCGCATCTTTGTCCACACTGTGTTCCACTATACGAATTCGCCCTGATACGAACCGCCAGAATTCCCAGTGACCCCTAGGTTCGATGAAAGGAGTGCAAGAAGCGCCAGGATACATACAAGATGCGCTCTTTGGCCCTGTTGGCCCTCCTTACACCTGAGGGGGGAATTGGCTGGAGGTAGCGAAGACACCATAATACTTTAGTAGTGTGTCGGAGTCTCGTTGCAGTACGCATGGGGTACTCGCTGCGATGTTTCATAGTCGTCCTACGTTGTTGTTCTAGACAAGCCCGCCTATCTGCTAGCATCATGGCGCCCTCGCCTTCACTGTGGTCAGTTTTGCTTACAGGAGCGCGGATCGAGTCGACCCATTCGATGTGAAATTGGTTTCTCTCTTTCTCGCTCTCTTTCTCTCGCTCCCTCTCTCTCTCTCTATATATATATATATATCACTCTCTCTCTCTCTCTCTGGCACACTCTCTCTCTCTCTCTCGCTCTCTCGCTCTCTCTCTCTCTCTCGCTATCTCGCTCTCGCTCTCTCTCTCTCTCTCTCTCTCTCTTTCTCCCTCGTTTCTCGGTCGCCATCCTGGACCGTGGCCAACTCAACCTCGCCCTATTAATATCCAGGGTCCTCGACCCACCTGCCCAGACCCCCGACGCCACCACACTGGTCGTGACGCAGGCCCCCCGAGCCAGCCCGAGACCACGGAGAGGATGGCTTAGCCTCCGCCCCCGGCGGGGCGGCCCCAGCGGCAGCCTCCCGACCGAAGAAGTCCGACCACGTCGCGGACGGGGTTTTTGACCATACACCCCGTGAACCTCCCCCCCCTCTATCGGGGGCGGGAAAGAGGGGGGGGATGACTAGGGGGGGGGGGGGGGGGAAATCATGGCGGGGGCCATGCTATTTCCCCAGATTTCGTGGCGCCTCTGCTCGTTTCGTTACCTCCCTGGCCCCCCCGCTGGGCCGCGCACATGCCGCCGGTCATGATTGGCACCCCCCCCTCTTGGATACCCCCCTCTTGGCCGCTCCCGACCTCGACGCCCCCCCCCTCGAGGGGGCTGCACTTGAAAGTGTGTGGCGAGGTTGTTCGGCGGCCCGGCAGGAGTCCGAGTCTCAGGCCGTTGGCCTCCGATCGGGCGGGCACCGCACGATCGGCAGTCGGCATCGTGAGGGGGGCTGCCTCCTCCTCCTCCTCCTCCTCCTCCTCCTCCCTCCCTCCCTCCCTCCCTCCCTCCCTCCCTCCTTCCGCCGTCCCTCTCTTCATCCCTGCCTCCCTCCTCCTCTGGACCTCCTTCCTCCCTCCCTCCTCCTATTCATCGCCCCCCCCCGCGCTTCTCCCCCCCTCCCTTCACCCGTGCCTCCTCCTCCTCCTCGTCCTCCCTCCCTCACGTCATCTCGCCTTCGCTTATCCACCTCTCCCTCCCTCCCTCCCTCCCTCATCCTGCAAAACCTGGTGGTCTCTGCATCAGACCGCCCGAGACCAAAATCACCACCAACCAATTCGAGACCCGGGCATGCGCCGTCCATATTGTAAGTGCCACGTCGACAGAGTCTTACCTTGGCCAGACGATCATGTTCCACGACGCCCCAGCGACAAAAGCTCAGCACAGCATACTACACACGTTGCTTGAGCCTGCCCACTCCATCTCATCCTGCTCCTCCGTTTTAGTATGTATCGGGCGTGCAGGTCTGCGTGGTTGTTTGTCCATAGAGGTAAGACTCAGCATCATTCGTTAGCCCTCGCTGTCGTCCGCCAGATTTGTAGTACAAAAAATAGCTGGACCTGCGTCACAGTCCAGACAAGAGCTAACAAGCAGGCATCATTCCTGAGTTGGCCACAAAATGCGGCTCTGTCATGGCACCGCCATGCCCACTATGTTGCATGGCTTCCAAACTTGGATTCTGACTAAGCGCCGAACACAACGACGAATAATGCAGACGATCATCGGGACGCCACAGCGGCTCACCGAACCATCTCGCACCAGCGACAGGCAACCAGCACAACCACGACCCAGGCAGCAAACACCCCAACGACACAACAGCGACCACCGTGGCAGCGACCACGACCTGTCCAGCCATACATATACGAGCTGTAACCATAACTACGACTTCGCATGCGAAAGCGGCGGGTGCAAACATCAATCCCAGCCAACCGACAAACGCCAGAAGACATCGAGCAGCGGTTTGATCTCATACAGCGAAGCACCCTCTGGGCATAATAGCACATGGCGGAACACGATATCCTAAATGCTTGAACTGGATGTGCAAGTTGCGAATACTACGCCGACCTGGTAGGCGCAACGCGCCCAGAATTGGAATTTCGATTTCAATGCAAAGTTACAAGAGCGGCGGCGAGACGGTGGACAACATAAGAGATGGGGTGACGAGATCCAGGAAATGCGCATACCGCTTATAAGACACATCCGGTGAAGAAGCTGCACCAGCACAACAGCGAAAGCGCCATACAACCGCTTTTGCATCAGCACTACGACCCCATCGACGTTACATTGCTTCCCAGCTTTGTGTAAGAAATTGTGGGACTTTTGAGAGGAGGATTGCTGTATTTATGTTTTCCGATAACACCGTGGAAGAGCAGCAGAAGGAGGAGAAGGAGGAGGAGGAGGAAGGAGGGAGGGAAGAGGAGAGAGGAGAGAGGAGGAGGAGGAGGAGGAGGAGGAGGAGGAGGAGGAGGAGCAGGAGGAGGAGGAGGAGGAGGAGGAGGAGGAGGAGGAGCAGCAGGAGGAGGAGCAGCAGGAGGAGCAGCAGGAGGAATAGGAGGAGGAGGAGCTCGGGCAAATCAGGTGAGCGGCCGTGGTCGCCCCGCACAGGTCACCAGTCGGCCCGTCCCTTCCCCTGGAGGCTCCAGAGCAGCCCCCTCCTCCTGCTCCTCCACCTTCCTACTCTCCCCCCGCCCTCCTCCCCCCCACCCTCCATCCCTCCCTCTCCTTTTCCCTCTTCAGATTCCTCTCTTTTCTACTCTTGGTGGATAGGGAGCCGCCCGACTGCATGGGAGGGAGGCGCTGCCAAGGCCAAGCGCTTCACGAACGGCTACGGGCTCGCCGACGCCAGGAAGCCCAAAACGCCGGCGAAGCAGCAGCCCGAGGCCGCTCTGGAGGCCCCAGCGGCTCCAGAGGCCCCACCTTGAAGAGAACGAAAATGACCGACGCAGGCATGGCACGCGCGTGGGTAACCCCGCTTCGGGTGTTGCTCGAAGTGCCCCTGGCCCTGGATGTCCACATGATTTCCAATGAGGCCACTACAGCCTCCACAGCACCCCTCATGTGGGAACCAGTGTAGGTGGTGCATCGCATGTGGCATGACATACCGTAGCACCCCGCAGCTGCGGATGAGAGTGAGAGGGCGGCGGGGACGTCGGCAGCCTGCGAGGCTCTGAAGACGCCCACCGCAGGCGCCTAATTTTCACAACATCTGCAATGAGGCCGCCGCCGGCGCCGATATCTCGTCAAAGAAATGAGGGTGGGTCGCGGGTGGGGCGCCGGGGGACCGCAGGCCGGGTCGCGGGGGGGACTACGACGACGACGACGACAACAGCAGCAACAGCAGCAAAAGCAGCAACAGTCATTTTGAGATTGTTCGCTCTTGCGGGCACGCGTGTCTTGCATTCTGTACACCCCAACCCTCGATACCCGCCCACTTCGTCTTCGATTGCACCCCCTGTTCGGGGGGAAGATCTTCCTTGTCGGCCTCTGATTGAGGTGCGAGGAAGTCTCGAGCGAGAGCGCCGTTCCTGAGTTCGGGGGCATCTCTGGCCGGGGGCTCTCGGAATACCGCTGGAAAAATATGGATGGGGAGCCCTTGTCGCCGAGTCTGGGCCTCCACCAACTTGCCTGAATTACGAGAAAGTCTCGAGCGAGAGTGCCGTTCCTGAGATCGGGGGCTGTCCTGGCCAGGGGCCCTCGGAGTAAATCGTGAGGACGTATCGAGCAGGAGCCCTTGTCGTCGTGGCTGGGCCTCCCAACTTGATTGAATTGCGAGGAAGTCTCGAGCGAGCGCGCCGTTCCTGAGTTCGGGGGCCTCTCTGGCCAGGGTGTCTCGGGGTAAATTGTGGAATTATCGAGCGGTAGCCGTTGTCGTCGTAGCTGGGCCTTCAAAGGCCCACATTTAGACTCAAGCCAACGCTCGCGCGGGAGCCTCGCCTTCAGAGAAAATGTAGCCGGCGTCGAGGCGAGAGCGCGCAGAACCGTTCCCGGAGATCAGCAATAATTATTCTTTAGAAATGAGGAGTCAACAACAACAACTACAACAACAACAACAACAGCAGCAACAACAACAGGAATAACAATACCAATAACAACAACAAACACAAAAACAATAACAGCAGCAGCAAAAACAACGACAACAACAATCAGTTTAAGCCTGTTCGGTCTTATCTGCTCAAGTGTCCGTTGGCGCGTATTTCCCAAACCCTCGATACCCGCCCTTTTCGTCTTCGATCGTTCCCTTGTTGGGGGTATACTCTTCTTCCCTGCAGGCCTGGGACCGTCGGCCTGGCCAGCGGTAGCGCTGATTGGTGGCAACCCGACCCGAAGAGGGACGGACAGGGGACCGACCGCGACGACGACGACGACGACGCCGACGACGACGACGACGACGACGACGGCGACGACGACGAGCGAAAGCGAGCGCGAGAGAGAGAAAGACAGCAGGGCCACGAAGGGCACGAGAAAGTCCACGAAGGGCGACAGCGGGGACACGAACGGAATTCGCATGGGGCCACGAAGAGCGCGATCGAGCGGTGGCCACGAAGGGCAGATAATGCGGGGCCACAGAGGGCAACGACGGGGCAACTGAGGGTAGCAACTGGGCCACGAAGGGCATGCACATGGGGCCACGACGGGCGCGAACGAGCGGGGGCCACGAAGTGCATGCGTATAGTGGGCCGCGGAGGGCAAGGACGGGGCCACTGAGGGCAGCAAAGGGGCCACGAAGGGCTGCAACGGTGCCACGAAACAAAGCGAGGAGGCCACTAAGGGCTGCAACTGGGCCACGAAGGGCAGCGAGGGGCCCACGAAGAGCGGCAACGGGGCCACGAAGCGCTGCAACGCGGCCACGAAGGGCAGCGAGGGGGCCCCGAAGGGCAGCAACGGGTCCACGATGGGCAGCGAGGAGGCCACAAAGGGCTGCAACGGGGCCACGAAGGGCAGCGAGATGCCGATTCCTCCGCAATCTGTGAAGGACTCATAAGCGTGAGCGCGATTCCTGGGTGCCTGAGTGTCGGAAGCGCGGCGCTTGAGCAAATTGCGGGAAATTCCCACGCAAGGGCGGTATTCTCGAGTAAATTGCAAGCGAGTCTCAAGCGAGAGCGCGACTGCAGAGCGCCGAGAGAGCGATTCCTGAATTAATTGGAAGGAAGTCCAAAGCGAGAGCGCGGTTCCTGAATAAAATGCGAGGAAGTCTCGGGCGGGAGCAGGGGTCTTGGCTAAATTACAAAGAAATCTCAAGCGAGAGCCGTTGTTGTTGTAACCCAGGTGCCAACAAAGCAGCTTGAGGACGAAGACTTTCCCGGATAAAAAACCAGGTGCGAGCGCCGGGAGGGGCACTTCAATTGAAACAGTACAATGTGCACTGGAGGGGGGATATGTTCAGTAGTGAGGGTTCAACACCAACAACAGCAAGCATAATCCGCGCCGCGGAGTCCCATTACAGTAATGTACCCAGGGATAGTGAATGGCCGTTCGATCCCCTCACTCTTGTGTGGTGTCACGTCTGGGATGCAATAGGCGTGGTGCTACGCGGTGCAAACTATGGTACCAAGTACATTCGTGTGTGTCTGTGTGTCAGCAACAGTGTGGAGTGCAGCCACTGTGGCGCACTCCATGTCCTGCTATCTACGTGTGGCGACTTGTGTCATGAAACGTACACGCTGCAGGCGATGCGGAGCCAGCGCACGAAGCGCCCACGAGGCGCCCAGGGGCGGCGCACCGTGCGAAAGCACGCCCGGGAGGCCCGGCCAGCGCGCGAGGCTCCTGCGGCCGTGCTCCGGAGGCAAAGCCCAGGGAGCGTGCCCAGCTATGTTGAGCAAGAGCCCCACAACACAGTCAGTGCCGCGCGCTCCTCGGGGAGCACGAGCCCCTCCTGGATGTCCAGGACTGAAGCCCTACAGTGCATCACTCCATTGGGCGGTGCTTGCCCAGGGACATCCTCAATACTGCCCCTCGAGCACCGATCCCCAACCCATAGGGTAACGCCGTGTAACGCATTGCCGCGCCGAGAGCTGTCGTCCCGGATTGCCGCCGGGTGGGGGGGCGGGGGGCCTTGCTCGCTCTGTCGGCCTTCCTGCGCAGCCGGGCGAGGCCAGTCCTGCCGCAGGCGCGGAGGGCGCGGAGCAGGGCGAGGCAAAGGAGGAGTGCAGCAGGGCGCTGGCGGCGGCCCTGGAGGATAGCGAGGAGAAGAGCCAGCCCAGGACGGAGTGCCGCGCAGCGATCACGGTAGCCCTGCACAAGGCGTCGGAGGGTACCAGTTGACCCGTCCTTCCGAGGCTTGGAAACATCAGAACGGAGGCTGCGGGCAATTTTCGACGCCTGGAGGCCCTTGCGGAGACACGGGGTGGAGCCTGGGGGCCGTTTCAGGGACCCAGGGTCGTCAGAAAACGGTTCAGGGTAAAGAAGCCGCCCCGCGGGAAGGGCTCGAGTGCTCCAGGAGCCGCGGAATTGGCACAAACACGACGTCGGAGGTCTAGGTGCTCACTTCACCCAGACCGATCCTGGCCAGCCCCATCCTGGGGCCAGGATGGGCGCTGCCAGGATCGGCACTGGCGCGCAGCAGGCACAGCCGCTAAGAAGCTTAGTTTGCCAGCAGGTGCCCCGAGGAAATGTCCTGTCTTGCCTAGGCTCTAGGGACCCGCATCAGTCTTGGGGGCGCTCCAGGAGGGCTCGATGAGGACAGCGAGAGTGTCCGTACATGTCTTACCGTGGGGGGGGCAACTATCTCGTCGCGCGCGCATAGCCGCAAGGAGCAAAGAAGACCTCCTGCATACTCACAACCCCGACCCTATCATGAGTCATTCCGAGGGCTGGCCCAGAGTATCTGTGGCCTTCGGCTCATCCCACCACCGTGCCTCGGTCGCGGATGTATCTTGTAGGGCTCTTGCGAGCCTCTCGGGGGGCCTCTTCGCCTCATCCCGCAACCGTGCCCGGATCGCGGATGCATATTGTAGGGCTCTTGCGGGCCTCGTGGGGGGCCTCATGAGGACCTCCCAGAAGCCTCTCGGGGGCATCTTGGGGGCCTCGTGGGGGCCTGCTGGCGGCTTCGGTGGTCATCTTGGGGCGGGGGGGTTCGCAATGTCAGCTCGCCCTCTCAGGCCCCTCTTGGGGCCGACTTGGGCCGTCTGAGCTTCTTGGGCTGGTTTGGCTTTCGGGGGCCGTCTTGGGGCCCTCTTTGGAGGCGATTGGGCCGTCGTGGAACGTCGGCAGCTCGAACATGCGAGAACGTTCAAGTGCGAACATGAACCTGTAGCACTTACTTGGCGGCCTCTTGGAGCCGTCTTGGGGCGTGCTGGAGCGTATTGGGGGGCATCTTGGGCCGTCTCGGTTCTCTCTTGGACCGTCTTGGGCGCTTCTCGTGAGACCCTTACAGGTTCGTCGGGTCGTTCTGGGCGGAATCACCGTCCCAGAGGCCGGCGCGACAGATCCTAAGGACATTCAAGAGCGCCCAGATCCTAAGAGCATTGAAGAACACTCTAAAGTTCGTCAAGTTTGCACACTTGCGTGAGCCTTGTGGCAGGCACTCCACTTCGTGCTGAAGACACGATAACGGATCTTGGGGCCCTGCTGGGGTTGTCTTGGGGTGTTCTTGGGGGCCTTGGAGGGCGTCTTGGGCCCCTTCTGAGCCTATTTCGGGGCTCTTCTGGGCGACCTTGGAGCCATTCTTGGGCCTCAGACGCCCGTCATCGGACGCGAACAGATGAGCAACGGCGAGAAGGGACAACTTCTGGGTTCTGGCATGATGTTGGCTTATTCGGGAATCCTTGAGAGGCGTCGTGGCCCGTCGGGCCAGCCTTGAGAGGCTCTCATGCCTTTTAGAGGCATGCTGGACGGCATACTCGTCCATCTTGGCCGTGGTGTGCCACCTTCGAGGCCACCTTGTGTATCTTGAGACCTCGGAGCCACCGCAAATGGACCATCTCACCCCTCGGAAGGTGGGCGGCGGGCGTCCAGGCCATGGTAGGGGTCAGGGGAAGGGGCAAGCACCTCCCCGAAGGGGAAGAACGGGGCCGGGCAGAGCTGGAGCCCTGAACCGCACAAGTCTGCCCAGAGGGCTGGTGGGGCCTCGATCCCGCGCCCCGAGAGCTTTCGACACGCCAGTGTTGCCCCGTGCCGGCGAAGCGAACAGCGAGTGCGCCTCTGGGGCGGGCATGAAGCGTGTGGGGGCGTGGAGGGTGTTGGGTCGGTGCGATCCACGAGGTGCCATCTACGTGTGGCGATCCGTGTCATGAAACGAACAGGCTGCAGGCGATGCGGAGCCAGCGCACGAAGCGCCCACGAGGCGTCCGAGGGCGGCGCACCGTGCGAAAGCACGCCCGGGAGGCCCGGGCAGCGCGCGAGGCGCCCGCGGCCGTGCTCCGGAGGCAAAGCCCAGGGAGCGTGCCCAGCTATGTTGAGCAAGAGCCCCACAACACAGTCAGTGCCGCGCGCTCCTCGGGGAGCACGAGCCCCTCCTGGATGTCCAGGACTGAAGCCCTACATGGTGCATCACTCCATTGGGCGGTGCTTGCCCAGGGACATATCATATATCCTCAACACTGCCCCTCGAGCACCGATCCCCAACCCATAGGGCAACGCCGTGTAACGCATTGCCGCGCCGAGAGCTGTCTCGGATCGCCGCCGGGTGGGGGGGGGGAGCCTTGCTCGCTCTGTCGGCCTTCCTGCGCAGCCCGGCGAGGCCAGTCCTGCCGCAGGCGCGGAGGGCGCGGAGCAGGGCGAGGCCAAGGAGGAGTGCAGCAGGGCGCTGGCGGCGGCCCTGGAGGATAGCGAGGAGAAGAGCCAGCCCAGGACGGAGTGCCGCGCGGCGATCACGGTAGCCCTGCACAAGGCGTCGGAGGGTGCCAGTTGACCCGTCCCTCCGAGGCTTGGAAACATCAGAACGGAGGCTGCGGGCAATTTTCGACGCCTGGAGGCCCTTGCGGAGACACGGGGTGGAGCCTGGGGGCCGTTTCAGGGACCCAGGGTCGTCAGAAAACGGTTCAGGGTAAAGAAGCCGCCCCGCGGGAAGGGCTCGAGTGCTCCAGGAGCCGCGGAATTGGCACAAACACGACGTCGGAGGTCTAGGTACTCACTTCACCCAGACCGATCCTGGCCAACCCCATCCTGGGGCCAGGATGGGCGCTGCCGGGATCGGCACTGGCGCGCGGCAGGCACAGCCGCTAAAAAGGCTTAGTTTGCCAGCAGGTGCCCCGAGGAAATGTCCTATCTTGCCTAGGCCCTAGGGACCCGCATCAGTCTTGGGGGCGCTCCAGGACGAGGACAGCGAGAGTGCCCGTACATGTCTTACCGTAGGGGGGGCAACTATCTCGTCGCGCGCGCATAGCCGCAAGGAGCAAAGAAGACCTCCTGCATACCCACAACCCCGACCCTATCATGAGTCATTCCGAGGGCTGGCCCAGAGTATATGTGGCCTTCGGCTCATCCCACCACCGTGCCTCGGTCGCGGATGTATTTTGTAGGGCTCTTGCGAGCCTCTCGGGGGGCTTCTTCGGCTCATCCCGCAACCGTGCCTGGATCGCGGATGCATATTGTAGGGCTCTTGCGGGCCTCGTGGGGGGCCTCATGAGGACCGCCCGGAAGCCTCTCGGGGGCATCTTGGGGGGCTTCTTGGGGGCCTGCTGGCGGCTTCGGTGGTCATCTTGGGGCGGGGGGTCATCTTGGGGCGGGGGGGCTTCGGCACCTCCTGCATACCCACAGCCCCGACCCTAGCATGAATAATCCCGAGGGGTATGTCTGTGCCTGGGTCGCGCATGCAAGCTGTAGGATTCTTGCGGGCCTCGTGTGGCCTCTTGTGGGGGCCTCCCAGGAGCCTCCTGCGGGCCTCCTGGAAGCCTCTTGGGGGGCCTCCTGGGGGCCTCTTGGAGGTTTGCTGGCGGCCTCGGTGGTCATCTTGGGGCGGGGGGGCTCGCAATGTCAGCTCGCCCTCTCAGGCCCCTCTTGGGGCCGACTTGGGCCGTCTGAGCTTCTTGGGCTGGTTTGGCTTTCGGGGGCCGTCTTGGGGCCCTCTTTGTAGGCGATTGGGCTGTCGTGGAGCGTCGGCAGCTCGAACATGCGAGAACGTTCAAGTTTGAACAGGAAGCTATAGCACTTACTTGATCTTGGCCTGTCAGGGCACTCTTGGGCGGCCTCTTGGAGCCGTCTTGGGGCGTGCTGGAGCGTAGTGGGGGGCATCTTGGGCCGTATCGGTTCTCTCTTGGACCGTCTTGGGCGCTTCTCGTGAGACCCTTACAGGTTCGTCGGCTCGTTCTGGGCGGAATCACCGTCCCAGAGGCCGGCGCGACAGATCCCAAGGACATTCAAGAGCGCCCAGATCCTAAGAGCATTGAAGAACACTCTATAGGCCGTCAAGTTTGCACACTTGCGTGAGCCTTGTGGCAGGCACTCCACTTCGTGCTGAAGGCACGGTAGCGGATCTTGGGGCCCTGCTGGGGTTGTCTTGGGGTGTTCTTGGGGGCCTTGGAGGGCGTCTTGGGCCCCTTCTGAGCCTATTTCGGGGCTCTTCTGGGCGACCTTGGAGCCATTCTTGGGCCTCAGACGCCCGTCATCGGACGCGAACAGATGAGCAACGGCGAGAAGGGACAACTTCTGGGTTCTGGCATGATGCTGGCTTATTCGGGAATCCTTGAGAGGCGTCGCGGCCCGTCGGGCCGCCTTGAGAGGTTCCATGCCTCTTAGAGGCACGCTGGACGGCATACTCGTCCATCTTGGCCGTGCTGTGCCACCTTTGAGGCCACCTTGTGTATCCTGAGACCCTGGAGGCACCGCAAATGGACCATCTCACCCCTCGGGAGGTGGGCGGCGGGCGTCCAGGCCAGGGTAGGGGTCAGGGGAAGGGGCAAGCACCTCCCCGAAGGGGAAGAACGGGGCCGGGCAGAGCTGGAGCCCTGAACCGCCCAAGTCTGTCCAGAGGGCTGGTGGGGCCTCGATCCCGCGCCCCGAGAGCTTTCGACACGCCAGTGTTGCCCCGTGCCGGCGAAGCAAACAGCGAGTGCGCCTCTGGGGCGGGCATGAAGCGTGTGGGGGCGTGGAGGGTGTTGGGTCGGTGCGATCCACGCCGTGCTATCTACGTGTGGCGATCCGTGTCATGAAACGAACAGGCTGCAGGCGATGCGGAGCCAGCGCACGAAGCGCCCACGAGGCGCCCGAGGGCGGCGCACCGTGCGAAAGCACGCCCGGGAGGCCTGGCCAGCGCGCGAGGCGCCCGCGGCCGTGCTCCGGAGGCAAAGCCCAGGGAGCGTGCCCAGCTATGTTGAGCAAGAGCCCCACAACACAGTCAGTGCCGCGCGCTCCTCGGGGAGCACGAGCCCCTCCTGGATGTCCAGGACTGAAGCCCTACATGGTGCATCACTCCATTGGGCGGTGCTTGCCCAGGGACATATCATATATCCTCAACACTGCCCCTCGAGCACCGATCCCCAACCCATAGGGCAACGCCGTGTAACGCATTGCCACGCCGAGAGCTGTCTCGGATCGCCGCCGGGTGGGGGGGGGGAGCCTTGCTCGCTCTGTCGGCCTTCCTGCGCAGCCCGGCGAGGCCAGTCCTGCCGCAGGCGCGGAGGGCGCGGAGCAGGGCGAGGCCAAGGAGGAGTGCAGCAGGGCGCTGGCGGCGGCCCTGGAGGATAGCGAGGAGAAGAGCCAGCCCAGGACGGAGTGCCGCGCGGCGATCACGGTAGCCCTGCACAAGGCGTCGGAGGGTGCCAGTTGACCCGTCCCTCCGAGGCTTGGAAACATCAGAACGGAGGCTGCGGGCAATTTTCGACGCCTGGAGGCCCTTGCGGAGACACGGGGTGGAGCCTGGGGGCCGTTTCAGGGACCCAGGGTCGTCAGAAAACGGTTCAGGGTAAAGAAGCCGCCCCGCGGGAAGGGCTCGAGTGCTCCAGGAGCCGCGGAATTGGCACAAACACGACGTCGGAGGTCTAGGTACTCACTTCACCCAGACCGATCCTGGCCAACCCCATCCTGGGGCCAGGATGGGCGCTGCCGGGATCGGCACTGGCGCGCGGCAGGCACAGCCGCTAAAAAGGCTTAGTTTGCCAGCAGGTGCCCCGAGGAAATGTCCTATCTTGCCTAGGCCCTAGGGACCCGCATCAGTCTTGGGGGCGCTCCAGGACGAGGACAGCGAGAGTGCCCGTACATGTCTTACCGTAGGGGGGGCAACTATCTCGTCGCGCGCGCATAGCCGCAAGGAGCAAAGAAGACCTCCTGCATACCCACAACCCCGACCCTATCATGAGTCATTCCGAGGGCTGGCCCAGAGTATATGTGGCCTTCGGCTCATCCCACCACCGTGCCTCGGTCGCGGATGTATTTTGTAGGGCTTTTGCGAGCCTCTCGGGGGGCTTCTTCGGCTCATCCCGCAACCGTGCCTGGATCGCGGATGCATATTGTAGGGCTCTTGCGGGCCTCGTGGGGGGCCTCATGAGGACCGCCCGGAAGCCTCTGGGGGGCATCTTGGGGGGCTTCTTGGGGGCCTGCTGGCGGCTTCGGTGGTCATCTTGGGGCGGGGGGTCATCTTGGGGCGGGGGGGCTTCGGCACCTCCTGCATACCCACAGCCCCGACCCTAGCATGAATAATCCCGAGGGGTATGTCTGTGCCTGGGTCGCGCATGCAAGCTGTAGGATTCTTGCGGGCCTCGTGTGGCCTCTTGTGGGGGCCTCCCAGGAGCCTCCTGCGGGCCTCCTGGAAGCCTCTTGGGGGGCCTCCTGGGGGCCTCTTGGAGGTTTGCTGGCGGCCTCGGTGGTCATCTTGGGGCGGGGGGGCTCGCAATGTCAGCTCGCCCTCTCAGGCCCCTCTTGGGGCCGACTTGGGCCGTCTGAGCTTCTTGGGCTGGTTTGGCTTTCGGGGGCCGTCTTGGGGCCCTCTTTGTAGGCGATTGGGCTGTCGTGGAGCGTCGGCAGCTCGAACATGCGAGAACGTTCAAGTTTGAACAGGAAGCTATAGCACTTACTTGATCTTGGCCTGTCAGGGCACTCTTGGGCGGCCTCTTGGAGCCGTCTTGGGGCGTGCTGGAGCGTAGTGGGGGGCATCTTGGGCCGTATCGGTTCTCTCTTGGACCGTCTTGGGCGCTTCTCGTGAGACCCTTACAGGTTCGTCGGCTCGTTCTGGGCGGAATCACCGTCCCAGAGGCCGGCGCGACAGATCCCAAGGACATTCAAGAGCGCCCAGATCCTAAGAGCATTGAAGAACACTCTATAGGCCGTCAAGTTTGCACACTTGCGTGAGCCTTGTGGCAGGCACTCCACTTCGTGCTGAAGGCACGGTAGCGGATCTTGGGGCCCTGCTGGGGTTGTCTTGGGGTGTTCTTGGGGGCCTTGGAGGGCGTCTTGGGCCCCTTCTGAGCCTATTTCGGGGCTCTTCTGGGCGATCTTGGAGCCATTCTTGGGCCTCAGACGCCCGTCATCGGACGCGAACAGATGAGCAACGGCGAGAAGGGACAACTTCTGGGTTCTGGCATGATGCTGGCTTATTCGGGAATCCTTGAGAGGCGTCGTGGCCCGTCGGGCCGCCTTGAGAGGTTCCATGCCTCTTAGAGGCACGCTGGACGGCATACTCGTCCATCTTGGCCGTGCTGTGCCACCTTTGAGGCCACCTTGTGTATCCTGAGACCCTGGAGGCACCGCAAATGGACCATCTCACCCCTCGGGAGGGGGGCGGCGGGCGTCCAGGCCAGGGTAGGGGTCAGGGGAAGGGGCAAGCACCTCCCCGAAGGGGAAGAACGGGGCCGGGCAGAGCTGGAGCCCTGAACCGCCCAAGTCTGTCCAGAGGGCTGGTGGGGCCTCGATCCCGCGCCCCGAGAGCTTTCGACACGCCAGTGTTGCCCCGTGCCGGCGAAGCAAACAGCGAGTGCGCCTCTGGGGCGGGCATGAAGCGTGTGGGGGCGTGGAGGGTGTTGGGTCGGTGCGATCCACGCCGTGCTATCTACGTGTGGCGATCCGTGTCATGAAACGAACAGGCTGCAGGCGATGCGGAGCCAGCGCACGAAGCGCCCACGAGGCGCCCGAGGGCGGCGCACCGTGCGAAAGCACGCCCGGGAGGCCTGGCCAGCGCGCGAGGCGCCCGCGGCCGTGCTCCGGAGGCAAAGCCCAGGGAGCGTGCCCAGCTATGTTGAGCAAGAGCCCCACAACACAGTCAGTGCCGCGCGCTCCTCGGGGAGCACGAGCCCCTCTTGGATGTCCAGGACTGAAGCCCTACAGTGCATCACTCCATTGGGCGGTGCTTGCCCAGGGACATCCTCAACACTGCCCCTCGAAGACCGATCCCCAACCCATAGGGTAACGCCGTGTAACGCATTGCCGCGCCGAGAGCTGTCTCGGATTGCCGCCGGGTGGGGGGGGGTGGAGCCTTGCTCGCCCTGTCGGCCTTCCTGCGCAGCCCGGCGAGGCCAGTCCTGCCGCATGCGCGGAGGGCGCGGAGCAGGGCGAGGCCAAGGAAGAGTGCAGCAGGGCGCTGGCGGCGGCCCTGGAGAAGAGCGAGGAGAAGAGCCAGCCCAGGACGGAGTGCCGCGCGGCGATCACGGTAGCCCTGCACAAGGCGTCGGAGGGTGCCAGTTTACGCCCGTCCCTCCAGGGCTTTGAAACATCTGAACGGAGGCTGCGGGCAATTTTCGACGCCTGGAGGCCCTGGCGGAGACACGGGGTGGAGCCTGGGGGCCGTTTCAGGGACCCAGGGTCGTCAGAAAACGGTTCAGGGTAAAGAAGCCGGCCCGCGGGAAGGGCTCGAGTGCTCCAGGAGCCGCGGAATTGGCACAAACACGACGTCGGAGGTCTAGGTGCTCACTTCACCCAGACCGATCCTGGCCAGCCCCATCCTGGGGCCAGGATGGGCGCTGCCGGGATCGGCACTGGCACACAGCAGGCACAGCCGCTAAGAAGCTGAGTTTGCCAGCAGGTGCCCCGAGGAAATTTCCTATCTCGCCAAGGCCCGCATCAGTCTTGGGGGCGCTCCAGGAGGGCTCGATGAGGACAACGAGAGTGACCGTACACATCGTACCGCAGGACTTCTCATCGCGCGTGCATAGCCGCAAAGAGCAAGCAGGACCTCCTGCATACCCACAGCCCCGACCCTAGCATGAATAATCCCGAGGGGTATGCCTGTGCCTGGGTCGCGCATGCAAGCTGTAGGATTCTTGCGGGCCTCGTGTGGCCTCTTGTGGGGGCCTCCCGGGAGCCTCCTGCGGGCCTCCTGGAAGCCTCTTGGGGGGCCTCCTGGGGGCCTCTTGGAGGCTTGCTGGCGGCCTCGGTGGTCATCTTGGGGCGGGGGGGGCTCGACATGTCAGTTCGCCCTCCCTCTCTCGGGCCCAACTTAAGGCCCTCTTAGGCCGTCTTAGCCTCGTGGGCCGTCTTGGCTTTCTCGGGGGCAGTCTTGGGGCCCTCTTTGGAGGCGATTGGGCCGTCTTGGAGTGATCTTGGGGGCCTCTTGGGCAGTCGTGGAGCGTCGGCAGCTCGAACATGTGAGAACGTTCAAGTGCGAACATGAACCTATAGCACCTACTTGATCTTGGCCTGCCAGGGCACTCTTGGGCGGCCTCTTGGAGCCGTCTTGGGGCGTGCTGGAGCGTATTGGGGGGCATCTTGGGCCGTCTCGGTTCTCTCTTGGACCGTCTTGGGCGCTTCTCGTGAGACCCTTACAGGTTCGTCGGGTCGTTCTGGGCGGAATCACCGTCCCAGAGGCCGACGCGACAGATCCTAAGGACACTCAAGAGCGCCCAGATCCTAAGAGCACTGAAGAACACTCTAAAGTCCGTCAAGTTTGTACACTTGCGTGAGCCTTGTGGCAGGCACTCCACTTCGTGCTGAAGGCACGGTAGCGAATCTTGGGGCCCTGCTGGGGTTGTCTTGGGGTGTTCTTGGGGGCCTTTGAGGGCGTCTTGGGCCCCTTCTGAGCCTATTTCGAGGCTCTTCTGGGCGATCTTGGAGCCATTCTTGGGCCTCAGACGCCCGTCATCGGACGCGAACAGATGAGCAACGGCGAGAAGGGACAACTTCTGGGTTATGGCATGATGTTGGCTTATTCGGGAATCCTTGAGAGGCGTCGTGGCCCGTCGGGCCAGCCTTGAGAGGCTTCCATGCCTCTTAGAGGCATGCTGGACGGCATACTCGTCCATCTTGGCCGTGGTGTGCCACCGCGAATGGACCATCTCACCCCTCGGGGGGGGGCGGCGGGCGTCCAGGCCAGGGTAGGGGTCAGGGGAAGGGGCAAGCACCTCCCCGAAGGGGAAGAACGGGGCCGGGCAGAGCTGGGACCCTCCTCCTCCTCCTCCTCCTCCTCCTCCTCCTCGTCCTCCTCCTCCTCCTCCTCCTCCTCCTCCTCCTCCTCCTCCACCTCCTCTTTTCAAAGCGAGGACCTGCGGGGGCGGCTGGGTGGGTGTGAGCGAACGCGATGCGAGGAGGGACTGCCGCAGTGCCCCTGGAGCAGCGTGGCTAAGTCTGAAGTCTAAGTCTGCCCAGAGGGCTGGTGGGGCCTCGATCCCGCGCCCCGAGAGCTTTCGACACGCCAGTGTTGCCCCGCGCCGGCGAAGCAAACAGCGAGTGCGCCTCTGGGGCGGGCATGAAGCGTGTGGGGGCGTGGAGGGTGTTGTGTCGGTGCGATCCACGAGGTGCCATCTACGTGTGGCGATCCGTGTCATGAAACGAACAGGCTGCAAGCGATGCGGAGCCAGCGCACGAAGCGCCCACGAGGCGCCCAAGGGCGGCGCACCGTGCGAAAGCACGCCCGGAAGGCCTGGCCAGCGCGCGAGGCGCCCGCGGCCGTGCTCCGGAGGCAAAGCCCAGGGAGCGTGCCCAGCTATGTTGAGCAAAAGCCCCACAACACAGTCAGTGCCGCGCGCTCCTCGGGGAGCACGAGCCCCTCCTGGATGTCCAGGACTGAAGCCCTACAGTGCACCACTCCATTGGGCTGTGCTTGCCCAGGGACATCTCATATATCCTCAACACTGCCCCTCGAACACCGATCCCCAACCCATCGGGTAACGCCGTGTAACGCATTGCCGCGCCGAGAGCTGTCTCGGATTGCCGCCGGGTGGGGGGGGGAGCCTTGCTCGCCCTGTCGGCCTTCCTGCGCAGCCCGGCGAGGCCAGTCCTGCCGCATGCGCGGAGGGCGCGGAGCAGGGCGAGGCCAAGGAAGAGTGCAGCAGGGCGCTGGCGGCGGCCCTGGAGAAGAGCGAGGAGAAGAGCCGGCCCAGGACGGAGTGCCGCGCGGCGATCACGGTAGCCCTGCACAAGGCGTCGGAGGGTGCCAGTTTACCCGTCCCTCCAGGGCTTTGAAACATCTGAACGGAGGCTGCGGGCAATTTTCGACGCCTGGAGGCCCTGGCGGAGACACGGGGTTGAGCCTGGGGGCCGTTTCAGGGACCCAGGGTCGTCAGAAAACGGTTCAGGGTAAAGAAGCCGACCCACGGGAAGGGCTCGAGTGCTCCAGGAGCCGCGGAATTGGCACAAACACGACGTCGGAGGTCTAGGTGCTCACTTCACCCAGACCGATCCTGGCCAGCCCCATCCTGGGGCCAGGATGGGCGCTGCCAGGATCGGCATTGGCGCGCAGCAGGCACAGCCGATAAGAAGCATAGTTTGCCAGCAGGTGCCCCGAGGAAGTTGCCTACCTCTCGAAAGCCTTAGGGTTTTCCTGGGCTTCTTCCTCCTGGGGAATCAATGAGGACAACGAATTTGTTCGTACATGTCAAATCGTGGGGTATCTCGTCGCGCGCGCATAGCCGCCAAGAGCAAACAGGACCTCCCGCATAATTACCCACAACCCCGACCCGATCATGAATATCCCGAGGGCTGGTTCTGCCCAGGGTATCGAAGACGCCTACGGCGACGCGGCCCCCTGCCTTTTGGATTCGCTCATGTAGCCGAGAGTTGTGGCAGGAGCTCTGCCTAGCTTTTGGACCATGTGTTCCCCCAGCCGTTGTAGAAACCCTTCGGGGAAGACTTGGGCAAGGATGGCGGGGAAGATCAGGAGAAGGAGGAGGAGAAGGGGGCATCTCGGGAGCATCCAGGGGCACTCTTGGGGCCTCCTGGGAGCTTCCTGGGAGCCTCTTGGAGGAAGCTTGGGGGCCTCCTTGGGCCACTTGGGGGGCTTTGGTGACCTTTGGGGGCTTCTCGGGTGCTTCTTTGACCGTCTTAGGACATGCCTGGCCCGTCGGAAGCCGTCTTGGGGGCCTCTCTGGGCCGACGTGGGGCCCTCTTGGGGCCATCTTGGGGGCCTCTTGGATCGTTCTGGTGCCGTATTGGAGGCCTCTTGTTTTCTGTGGGAGATCTTGGGCCGCCTCGGGCCGTCGGAATGCCGAAAAGAAACACATGCCAACATCCTTCGGACATCGAAGGAACATCAATGATGTTGGCCTCTTCGGGCCTTCCTGGAGGCCCTCTTGGAGGCCTCTTGGGCCGTCTTGTGTGGAGACTCTCTTGTTTTATCGATATAGGTTTAGCATAATGTTCTTTCCCGTGAAGCCCAACATTCCAGCTCACGGGAGGCCAGGATTGTTCGTACGTGTTTCAGGGAAGAATGTACTGTGGTTGCCGCTTTGTGGCTCAAGGCCAAAATGCATCTGCTTATCCTGCTGCTGCCACAGTTGGTAGCGGAGCAGTGTTCGGCGCGGCATGCATGGGCGCCTCCAGGTACCGCTGATCAGCTGTGGTGCCGGGGGCAGCTCGGGCGGCTGCGCGGGCGCTGCTCTCACCGGACTGGACAGAGCGCGGATCCACGGCAGGCATTGATGCCAGGGCCAGACGACACTGGCCCAGGAGACGAGAAGAACGAGACGTACGCCGTCATTGGCGGAGGGCGCTCAGCCCAGTCGGAGGGGACTGGGGAGGGGACGGCGCCACCGCCACCCGTCGGAGGCGCGGCGAGCTCGAGCCCACAGGTCACAGAGCAGCTGAAGCAGCTGATCCAGCAGGCCGTGAAGGACGCAGTGAAGAACCTCGGCCCAGGGCTCAGCAATAGCGCCGCCGGCGTAGACGACGACTACGGCGGCACCAAGAGCGGCCGGCAGGAGAGCTCAAGGGGCCAGGATCCCTGGAGCGACGGCCGCGATCCATGGAAGAGTGGACAGCCGGAGCCTGACGAGAACAAGTGGGGCCCCGGGGGCCGACAGCAGCAGGACACCAAGCGAGACGGCGTCAGGGACTCCGACTGGAAGGACGACGACAAGGGCGGCTGGAGGAACCACAACTGGAACGAGGGCGGCTGGTCAAAAGGTGACTACTCAGACCCGCCTACCTGGCCGGGATGGGGCCACTACCGCCTGTGGAAAAAAGGCGATCCAGCGGTGGAACAACAACACTGACGTGCAGCTGTGGAGGCGGTCGGAGCGCTTCTTGAAGCTGTTCGACTGGACGATGCAGGCGAAGTTCGAGGACATTCGCGAGAACGTGCTGTGCGGGCCCCGCTGGCTGGACACTCTCCTCGAGAGAATGGACCTCATGAGCGGCCAGCGAGAGGGCGACGACATGCGCCGAGCAGGTCGCAGGGCACTGTTCGAGTGCACGAAGGGCCCGAAGGAGAGCCTCACGCAGTTCGCGGCGAGGCGCGATCAGCAGATGACCGACGCCGAGAGCCACGACATATGGGTGTCAGACAAGATGAAGGGTCTCATGCTCGAGGAGGGTGCGGGACTGAGCGCGCAAGGTCAACGGAACCTGCGCGCCCTCACCAAGGGTAGCCCGGACTACAGGGACGTGGCCTGGGCTCTCAGGCAGCTCGACTACGGCAGCGGCGAGAAGCTGCTGCCTGGCAGCAGCGCCTCGCACCCAGTCTTGGCCGCAGAAGACGGCGAGGGCGGGCGGGGCCACAGCTCTCTCCCTCTTCCTCATCCGTCCTCCCAGGCTTACCAGGTCTCGGGCTCCGGGACCGCTCGACAGGACGAAGAATCGCACTACGACGAGTCGGGAGAGGATCCAGACGAAGACGAGGAGCTATCCGAGACAGACCTCATGGCCATTTTGGCGGAGATTGAGGATCTGGATCTCGACGAGGACGATGCCACCGAGGCCTTCGTGCAGATGACAAGCAAGGTGCAGCGCAGGTCCTGGATGCAGAACAAGGACCTGAAGCGACCGGCGAAGCAGGACCGCGAGTTCTACGGTGCGCGACCTCGCCGGGGCGACGACGACGGACGTCGCGGCGGCGGTGGCCGAGGCGGCGCAGGCGGCCGAGGCCGCGCGCGCGGCCGAGGCCGAGGAGACAGGCCAAAGGATACCGGCGCCACGAGTCAGAGAATCCCCAGGCTCATGAAGGCCACCCGCTGCAAGAATTGCAACGAGAAGGGCCACTGGTCACGGGAGTGTCCTCAGCCGCGGAAGGAGGACAGCGGCAAGGGACCTGATCGGTCAAAGCGAGGCCTGGCTGGGTACACGTTCGACGGCTGCAGCTATCCGATCATGGGCAACGATGAGCTCGAGAAGCTGAAGGGCATCCGGAAGGAGGCGCAGGCCATCGAGGTCTACCTCAACGCCTCTGCGACGCAGGGCCTCGTGGACCCAGGGGCCGGCAGTGACATAGTGGGACTGCCATCGCTGAACCGAGAGGCCGAGGCGCTGGCTCGTCACGGTCTCCGCTACGTAGTAGTACCAGGAGAGTTCAAGGCGCCCAAGAAGGCGCATGGCATCGGAGGCGAGGCAAAAGTGATCTGTACCATCCTGTATCCGATGCGCCTCGGCGGAGTGATGGGAGTTGCGGAGACCACGGTGCTGAACGAGGACGTTCCGCATATACTGAGCGTCAACCTGCTGGATTTCCTAGGCTGCGTGCTCGACCTTCCTCGTAATCTTCTGATATCGCAGTTTTTAGCTCAGGACATTCCTGTCACCAAGCTGGGCTCCGGTCACCGCATGGCCGATATCGCGCGGGAGACTAAGGGGAGCCACACTACCCCAGACAGTGCGCATCGGAAGTGTCCTTTTCTGACAGCGTCTTCCTTTGCACTGGCCGCTGGGCAATCGCCACCTGTGATGAGCGCCAGCGGGGAGATGAGCGCTTACAGGGTTGTCCTCTACCTCCTCCCCCTCAGCTTCAATCAAATCGAGTGCAGTACCGTACGCCGGGGTCGAGCCTGGGGACGACGCTTATCGATCGAGCTCGAGTGTAGCGACCAGCACCAGGCACGAGCTCAGTGGAGCAGCCTAGCGACGGTCCGGGCCTCGGGATCCCGCGGAGAAGCTAAGGATGAGGAGTGCCACCAGAGCCAGGCTTGCGAGACGACCAGAGCCCTCAACCTCAGGATAGTGGGTAGGGCCATTTACGACCTCAAAGCTCTCGGTTTCTCGGCGATAACCATGTGGGTTCAGATTGTCCCGGTGATTTCCGTGGCCAGTTTGGGCTCAAACTCGTTTCGGCGATTCCAAGCTTCCAATCTCGATCACCTTCGGAGTCGCATCCTGGGCGATTCATTCCATGTTCATGTTTCGTGTAGCGATGGTGCTGGCTCTCGGCGTGCACCCAGCCGTCGGAGGCAAGAAGAAGGAGCCCGTGGCCAAGCAGCTTACCGAGGAGTTGCCGGCGCAGCGCCACGCCGAAAGAGGGGGGGACTCCGAGGTGTCCTCGGAGGTGTTCGAGCCCTCAGCCGGAGCAGCCGGCTCGGCGGCACACAGCGAGGCGACGGCGGCGGCGGGCAGCGACGTGCCCATGCCCCAGCAGTCGCACGGAGCCAGCAGCGCCTCGGACGACCAGCAGCACCAGGCGCTCGCGGCGTTGCATGGGCTGCCGACGCCGATGAGTCTCGGACCCGCCCAGGCCGCGGCGAGCCCCCTGGTGGTGAAGGCGCCTCCTCCGCACCTTCAGCAGCACCGACCCGCATCGAAGCCGCGGCCAGCGCTGTGGGGAGCGGCGGCAGCGGCATCTCAGTGGCCCCCTGCTCCACCGATCGAGGGGACCACCCAGCCGACGATGCACCAGGCGCTGTATGCCCTAGCCCAGGCGGGCGTCGAACACCGCGGCCAGCCACCTCTGCCACCAGGACCGCCTCCGGCGGCCGCAGCAGCGAAGGGGGCGGCGGCTGCCGCGGCGGTCGGAGGAGGAGCGACGGCGCCGACGCCAGGGGTGCTGTTCGGGCCAGCTGCGGGGAAGCCACCTCCCCAGGCATCATCCCACTGCAGTCACCCAGCCTCGGCGATCAAGTACTACGGAAACCAGCGCGGCCCGGGATCGAGATGCACTCTCTGCGGAGTGCGCATTGCATGGATTCCCGGAGGCCGCGCTGGTCAAGGAGGTGCCCCGGCAG